CCCCCTACTGGGGATTGAGCCAATAACTCCGGCCTGTGCCCTGAATGGGAATTGAATAGGCAAACTTTTGGTGAATGGGAAGAGGTTCAACCAACTGAGCCAGGGGCTGAAGCCCAGTGATCTGATTAACCCAAAGCAAAGCAGGTTGGCATGTAAAAGAGTCGATGTCACCTCTGGACTCTGAAGTAGATCCAGGGATCTTTTTTTAAAAACATTAAAGCAAAAATAGATGTGACATGTTTGCTCCAGATGCTCCATATTTGAAGCTCTGAACCTCATTTGGAAATGGAGGCTGCTTCTCTGTGTGGCTTGGATTCTCCAAGCAAGAGGGGATGTTTATTCTTACTGATATAATTTCTAATAGCAAAGTTTCTGATAGTCTATGACTTTAGAGAACAAGGTTTAGAACTGAGACTAGGGTGAGGCAAGTGAGGCACTCACCACAAAAGGAAAAATTTAGCCCTAGCCAGTTTGGCTCAGTGGTTAGAGTGTTGTCCAGTGGACTGAAGGGTCCCGGGTTTGATTCCAGCCAAGAGCATGTACCTCGGTTGCAGGCTCAATCCCTGGCCAGTGAGGGAGGCAACCAGTTGATGTGTCTCTCTCACATGGATGCGTCTCTCTCGCTCCCCCCTTTCCACTCTCTCTGAAAAGCAATGGAAAACATATCCTAGGGTGAGGATTAAAAAATAAATAAATAAAAGACAGAATTTAAGGGGGCACCAAAAAGCTCAGTAATCAAGATAAATAACGTTCTAGTGCAATATTTTCAAAAGTAAAAATTAATGCAAAAATCCATGATGAACAAAATACCAAAACTTTAAATGCCTGTATTAGTTATCTATTGCTGCATAACGAATTACTCTTAGACATAGAAGCTTAAAACAACAACATTATATCACAGTGTCTGTGGGATCCAGAACTTGGGAGTGGTTTGGCTAAGTGGTTCTGTCTCAGGATCTCTTCTAATGTTGCAGTTAAGTTGTCAACTGGGGTTGCAGTCAGCTGAGGCTGGAGGTTTCACTTCCAAGGCCGTACATTTGTATGGCTATATGCTAGAGGTCTCAGTTCCTCACTGGCTACTAGCAGGAGTGCTTGGTACATGGGCTTTTCTAAAGGCTGCCTGAGTGCCATTGTGACATAGCAGCTGGCTTCTCCCAGAGTGAGTGATATGAGGGAAGGAGGGACGGGGAGGAGAGAGAGAGGAGAGAGAGAGAAACAATGAACACATAAAATGGCAGCCAAAGTCTTTTTGAATCTAATCTCTGAAGTGACAAACCATTACTTCTTACCTTGAAACCTGGGCCTCCATTAACTATTCCATGTCTATATCCTAGGAAAATATTAACATTTCCATCATTAATTTCCCTGGTTTGATCTAAAAATGTCAGTTAACGATTTTACCAGAAATCACCATCTTGTTTTATAGGCCATAAGCCCAGACCTATAAACAGACTTCTATCACAAATGAACATCTACCTTCAATGGTCTTCAGGTCCAGTTCTTGAACTTGGGCTTCTGTTACTTTACAAATATCATTGTCCCTCTGGTTTGAACTTGAAACCAGGCATCTATAAGAAAGGTCTGTTTTGGAGGTACAATCAAAAGGACATTGATGGTTGAAAAGTTAACCAAGGGCTAATAGTTGAGACAGACATTGATAATGGAAAATTAACATATCTAAACTCTCAATCTATAAAAGGCACATATGGTGGAAGGGTTAGCAGCAGTTTGGATTCAGGATCAAAATACAAGGACATTGATAATGGAATCATTAATAGAGGACATGAATCCAGATCAGAAGAAAGCAACATAGGTGTCGGTAGAGTTAAAAAAAAAAAAAAAAAGTCCAGGTTTGAGATCAGCCAAGGAGGAATTGATGATGGGAATTAAGAGAGTCCAGGATTTGAGATGTTGACCAGAGGTCATGACAGTAAGTTTTGGTAATTTCTATGGAAGCGTGTGTGGCACAGCAATGTCCTCCTGATTGTTGAGTTGAGGCCCAGAGAGATCTGAATGTCCATAGGGTACCCAGCAATCCATGCCCAAGTTTAGCCAGGGCCTGTTGGGTCTGGGGAAAGAGCCCTTTCTATCTCTTGTCAGAGATTTCCTGCAGGAGGATATACTTGGACTAGGTTTTGAAGAATGGGTAATTCAGAGGTGAAGAACACCCAGAATTCTTTTTTTTCCTCAAGACTCTGTAGCATCTCCTGAATTTTCATTTAAGAGAGGCTAAACAACTGCTACCTGGTTGACAGCAGAAGTCAGGGGCAGATTTTTGGAGATGCATTTTCATTGAAAACATGCTTATAATGTTTTTCTAAATATTTTTTTATTGACAATTTTCTGAAAAACATTAGTTGTCCATATCAAAGGCTAATATTACAATTATTATTCCTAGCTACAATTTTAGTGGAGTAATGGAGGAAATGGAGATTGAGGGATATTCAAGTCTCTTCCATACTAATTCCCCTGCACATCAAGAGGAGAGTGTAGCCCTGGCCAGTGTGGCTCAGTTGGTTGAGCTTCATCCCATGCACCCAGGGGTCACTAGTTCCACTCCGGGTCAGGGCACATGCCTGGATTACAAGCTTGATTCCCAGTAGGGGGCGTGCAGGAGGCAGCCAAGCAATGACTCTTCATCGAGGTTTCTCTCTCCCTTCCTCTCTCTCTAAAAACAATAAAAACATCTAAAAAATATATAGGAGACTGTACCTCCCTGACTCTGCACCCCTCTTCTCCAGTAGTATCGCCCAGGAGGGGACCTGCATTAGTCTGACGTTTTCCCCCTTCCCGGTGGTATCTCCTAGGCAAGGATTGTACCACCCTGATTCCTTCCCTCTCTGGCCCAGTAGTATTGGCCAGGAGGGGGACTGTACCATCCTAACTTCTTTCTACTAGTGACATCTCCCAGGAAGAAACTGTAATCATGACTTTTCCCCCTCCCTCAGTGGTATTTCCTTTGAACATCTGGAAACATCTCCACTCTCCCCCAGGGACGGGAGACTGCCACCTCTGCTTCTGTAAACTTTGCACAGACCTTTACAGCCTAGTTCCAAAGACTATATGCTCAAGGACACTCACACTCAGAAGTTTACTACCCATGAACAACGTCCCCCGTCCCCACCTTCTGTGGAACAGCCCACTGTACGGAATAGACGCTAAGATGGCGTCCCTTAAAGACGGAACCCTGGGCGCAGCCATGTTCCTCGCCCGACAACATCACTCATGGACAAAGTCTGGGCGGATCCATAACTGCACCTGGTTCAGAGTGAGTAGACCACGGCCTCACAGCCCTTATGATCATGTGCGAAACCAGCAGCCCCAGAAGGGGCAGTGGCAGGGGTGATGACAGAAAACGATAGTGGCCCGCATAGGACGTTTAAGTCTTGGTGGCGCGCTGCACTAAATCGAGTGCTCCAGGGTTTGTGGCTTGACCGTCACTGAGGTGATGGCTTTGTTGGCATTTGGGAATGATACACTGTCAGTTAGTGGGGACAATTGACGAGGAATTAAAAAATATAGTAAATGGGAGTCTATGCAGGTCAGGGACCAGGGATGGGGGTTTCTGGGGTTGTTAGTTTTTAGACTCCTTGCTGTGTCTTGTTGTCAAGCCTTAATAATTAATAAATAGTGTGTCTGTTTAGATTGGTCCTTCATCAGTCTTCCCAGAGGTTTGCTTAATTTTGTTAATCTTTCCAGAGAACCAGTTTTTGGCCTTGTTGATCCTCTCTACTATACCTTTGTTTTCTATTTCCTTAATTTCTGCTCTAACCTGTACTAGTTTCTCTTTACCTAACTTCTTAAATTAGATGTTAATTCATTAATGTTCAGCCTTTTTGTGTGTGAAAAAACATTTAAGAACATGAATTTCCCTTTAAGAGTCTCTTTAGCTAAAATTTCATATGCACTATCTTATTATTGAGCTTTGTGTTTAATTTTTCTTCTTTAATTTATTCTTTGCATTGTAATTCAAAGCATTATAATATAATGACATTTCTATTAAGCCTTCTTATCCAGGGATATGGTATGTCTGCGTGACTTATATTTGTAAATTTTTTAAAACTTTTTTAATCGTATAGGTCCAGTTGCTTAAAAAGTTTATTTTATATATTTCTTGCTATCATTACTAATAGGGTTTCCCCATTTTCATTTTATCATTGTTATAGAGGAAAGACCATCTGCTCTTATAATTTTAGCTTGTATCCAGCCCCTTATGAAATTACCCAATGAATTCTAATAGACTTTAGTTGGTTTCTATGTATAAAATTATACCTTTGGCAAAGAAAGCTGCATTTTCATTTCTTTGCAATATTTATTCTGATAGTTTCATCTTCTATTGTGTGAGCCAAAGCCAGAAAAACAATTTTGAATCCTATCAGACATCCTTATCTTTTTGCTAATTTTAATAACAATAGCTTCATCATTTTACTTTTTAGCATAATATTCCATGACTATGTTTTCAAATGAGTTTTGTGATATTTAAGTAATTTACTTCTTCCCTAATTATAGTTTGAGTTTTTATTAGTAATGACTGCTGATTTGTGTCAAATGCTTTTTTGGTGTAAGTTAATAGTACCATGTTTTCCCCACCCCCAATTTGTTGATTTTTTTTTTTTATATCTTTATTGATTTCAGAGACAGGAAGGGAGAGGGAGAGAGAGTTGAAACATCAATGATGAGAGAGTTGTCATTGATGGGCTGCCTCCAGCACGTCTCCGACTGGGGATCAAGCCTGCAACCTGGGCACGTGCCCTGACCAGGAATTGAACCGTGATCTCCTGGATCCTAGGTCGATGCTCAAATGCTGAGCCACGCCAGCTGGGCTGTTTGAATCTTCTTTATATCTTATATGTTTATTCCTGAGACCTGCTTGTTGAAACATTTTTGTAATGACTGATTCAAAATCTTTGTTGGATAATTATCTCTGTTACCTCATTCTTGGTACTTTTTTTTCCATTCAGTTTGAGATTTTTCTGGTTCTTGATATGACTGATTCTCAATTGAAACCTAGACTTTTTTTGGTATTATGTTATCAGAATCTGATTCTTATTTAAACCTATTTTAGCTAGTTTCCTCTTGGGAAGATAGAGCACCATTTCATTACTTCCAGGTTGGGGAGGGAGTCCAGGTTTCCCATTTAGCTTCCTTGGACACTCTAGTAGGGAGCTCCTCATTACTTCTGGGCAGGGATGGAATTCTAGCTTTCCACTATGTCTCCCCTGATTCTTCCATGGGTGGGAGGAGTAGTGGTGCCTAAGTACTGCTTCCCATTACTCCACTGACACCATGTGAGGGTGGGGGCTTTCTGCTTCTTGGCAGTGGTGAGAGTCCTAACTTCAGTAGGCCTCCTCTGACACTACTACAGCAGGATGGAGGATGGATGCCTCATTACTACTGATTTGGGGTGAAAGTCCAGGCTCCCCATGGTTTCTCCACTGCCAGCACTGAGCAAGGAGCCTCATTACTGAACAGAATGGATGAGCCTTAGCTTCACCACTTGGTCTTTTCTGATATCACGCCAGAGTTGTAGAGGATGTAGCAAGCGCCTTATTATAGCCAGACAAGAGTGGAAGTGTATGCTCCTCATTTGGTTTTTGCTGATGGGATGGAGTTGAGACCCACAGCTTTTTCCATGATGCTTGGCTGGAGTAAGGTGGTTATTATTTAAAAGTTTTCTGTTTTGCTAGGTTGTTCATTTTCTTGTCCTTTGACTAGAGAAAGGAGGCTTTCTTAGAGCTGTTTTTGTCTGTGTCCACTGGCATTTTTGGATTTCCACTTTCTCCAGCACCTAGTCTGGGATATCTGAAGTAAAAAGCTAACTCAAGGGATTCATTGCTATGTTGTTTCTCAGCTCCTGAGGTCTGTTGCTTGTCTGCTTTCTCTCCAACTGGCGGAGGAGGAGGAGGAGGAGGAGTCTTCTTGTTGTTGTTCTCCTCCTCCTTCCTTCCTTTCTTTCTTTCTTTCTTTCTTTCTTTCTTTCTTTCTTTCTTTCTTTCTTTCTTTCTTTCTTTCTTTCTTTCTTTCTTTCTTTCTTTCTTTCTTT